ATACATCTCTTTTTTGGAAAAACTGGGTTGTTTTTTGTTTGTTTCATTTGGGAACTTTTATACTCAGTAGATTAAGTGAAGTGACTTTGAACTTTGAAATGTCCACATCTTAAGATTTTATTAAGCCTGACTGGGTTTAAAGAACATTTAAAGACATCCAAACTTACATGGAAGATCAAAATGAACTAATAGGTCGATGCAGACATTTTTCCACCCTGCCTTTGTGCCGGTTAATGAAAGCGGTGCCTTTGTGCCTGTGGACAATGAGCAGGGAGGCCTGGCTCTCCCGGGAACTCTGGTGTCCCCTGACAACGGTCCTGGCTGAACTGTGCCGCGATGCCTTTTCATGATACGCACCTGGCCCTCAGGACCACCCTCGATCTGCTAAGGCAACTTGCCACATCAGAAAAGTGGTTGGACGCAAGGCAGACTTGTGAAAGTTTGTTTGATGGCACTTCCTAGGGAAATAATCTCCAACCCTTGGAAATAAAATCCATCAGGCAACAGGATCTGTCAGTGATGGAAATGAGGAACAATTTAAGTCTGTTACACAGAGGTTTCACACTCAGTTAATTGAGCAGTGGAATAAGCAGCCCACCCAGGAAGGTGCGAGGCCACGTTTAATTTCCACGTATCATCTCTTCTGTGTTTGATATTCGCTGCGATGTTTATGCTTCCTATGTCCTTACAGAGTGGTTCCCGAAACAGGGGTGTCCTTACTTGCTTCCTATTTTAAGGGGTTTCTAATTATTTTTTAATACTTTTTTGTTGATTTCAGAGAGAGGGAGGGAGAGAAAGAGAAACATCAATGACGAGAGACAATCATTGATCAGCTGCCTCCTGCATGCCCCCTACTTGGGATCGAGCACAAATCTCGGGCATGTGCCCTGACCAGGAATTGAAATGCGACCTCCTGGTTCATGTGTTGACCCTCAACCACTAAGCCACACCAGTCAGGCGGGATCTCTAATTCAGGGGTCCTCAAACTACGGCCCGCGGGCCACATGCAAATACAAATATTGTATTTGTTTCTGTTTTGTGTTTTTACTTCAAAATAAGATATGTGCAGTGTGCATAGGAATTTGTTCATAGTTTTTTTTTAAACTATAGTCCGGCCCTCCAACGGTCTGAGGGACAGTGAACTGGCCCCCTGTTTAAAAAGTTTGAGGACCCCTGCTCTAATTATTAAAGCAATACTTATTCGTTTGTAAAAACATTCAGATGAAATTGAAATTTCTGAAGTAGTAAGTGTAAGTCTCTTTTTAGAAAAAAATAGGACTCCATGTTACACAATATCCTACCACCTGCTTTTTTCCCTTACCAGTGTCTGATGGATGTCTTTCTACATGAATACATAGCTGCGTGGTGTTCCTCTGCCTGAATAGACTATACATTTTTAGCCAATCAGCTATCATGAAACACTTAAGATTTAACAGTTTTTGACCATTACAAATAATGACACTGAACATTCTTGTATTTTATCATTTTAGTGTATTTAGTGAAAATGTATAAAACTGAATTACAGGGCTTTAGGAAGTCATGCACTCTATAGTTCTCCTACCCCTTCCTGTCATCTTTGTTACCACCTTGGCCCCCAGAGGCATTGTATTTGTTATCCTGTCTACCAGACAAATGCCTAGAGGTAGAATTACTGGTTCTAAAAAATTACAACTATAAAATGCTATGGCTATTGTTAAATTGCTCTTCAAAATATTTATTTTGGATGAAATCTCTTTTCTCTTTGTTGCCAGTTGAAAGGCAGACTTGTGAGAAGTCCAGGGTGTGAACCCAGCATCGTTTGATTATGTTTATTTTATAGGCAGAGATGCAACAAGTCGTTTCCACGCCATTTCTACTCAGATAAGGAGGCCAGTCCCCTGGGAGCCAAGGAACGCACATCAATGGAAATATTAAAGATGATTCTGATTTTCTTTCACAAACCAACAAAACAAATACACTGCCATAAATCCTTTAGCACATACCTGACCCAGGGGATGGTGCTGACTGTAGAAGCCACAATGGTGGTGGTGGTGGGGGTGTGTGGGCTGGTTTTCATTATTGTGATGATTGTTAGCACAATTACTCTTGAGCAATGCAATCATGTCTGGTCTGAAGTTTGGCACAATCCTACTGGTTTTCCAAATGGGTTGCCATCTTTTAAAATCAGGAATTATGGAATGATTCGCAGCATTGTTCTAGAGTTTTAACTATGCCTCTGAGAGAACTCAGTTTATCCTGTGGCTCTTCATCTGGAGAGCAGAGGAGGTTTGGCACACACAGGCACCTCTACCCAAAACCAAATGGGTTGCTTTGTGACGGGTCTTTTCCGCTTTGCCTACAAGACAGACTCATAGCTGCATTTCCCGAGAGCCATCTATTATGCTTTCTGCTTGGTTAAGAGCCAGTGGGCATGCAAGTTTTTATCAATCTAGGGTTTCCTCTTTAAATAGCTTAAGTGGGAAATGGACGGCAAAGTGCTATGAAAGCAGCCTGGGTCGGGTCTCAAGAGCCTGGAGTCCAGTCTGTCTCCTGTGGGTGCTGGCTCTGGACCTCGGAGCTGGGTGGGGATTTCTTTGTTGGAAGAACCAGCGTCTGCAGGGGGATAAGAGGAGACCCCAGTGTTATCTGAGGTCTCAGGACTCAGAGAGAACTCTGATTAGATCAGGACTTGAAGCTAATCAAGTCCCTTTATTTCACTGGGCCTCTGTTTCCACTAAATCAGTCATCAGCTATCTGCCAACAGTGGGCAGACAGGCAAAGTGAACAGGGGACAGTGCTGTGTTAGAGGGTCAGTGGTAACCACCTTGGCTACATGGACCCCAGTGGGAATAGTGGGGGAAGGAGGGAGGGGAATAAAGAGAGGCCAGGCTTCCCGGCCGGCTCCTCCACCAGGAAGCCCCCTTAAAGGGTGAAATGACTGCCTCACCAAAGGAAAATGAGGACAGACTATGGCTACATAACGATAATGTATTTTTTAAACATCTTTTTAGTTGGAAATAAACCATCACTTAAAAACTAGTCTTCAAGTTGTAATTCCCAGATAAGCAGATATTCCTAATTATAACAAAATCTTCATTTTGGGCACTCATATATTTTTATTCACTCATGTCTGGATCTGTGATGTTACGAGCACTGTGCTCCATGGGGCCATGGCCAGGGGCAAGAGACCTAGCCCTTCTTTTCCCTCATCAAGTGGATAGTCTAGTGGAGATCAATCTCACAGAGGTAACCACACAGATATTAGTCAACCACCGTGGAAAAAAGGCTCTGAAGGAGTAGTGAGAGTGCCTGAACTGGTCTGGATGTGACCGAAGGACTGAACTTGGCCTACCAGGAGTTTTTTTTGGATTGTGTAGTGTTGACCCACATCTCACTTTAAATTTGAATGAAAGGGCTTTAACATTTTTAATTCATTATCTTTCTTCTATCTAACCCTCATGTACCACTTTGGGAGTTGGATTGTGGTTTATTTAAAATAATTCTGTCTGATTATTTCACTTAGCACAGTATTCTCTAAGTGCATCCATATTGTTGCAAATGGCAAGACTTCATTCTTTTTATGGATGAGTAATTTTCCCTTTTCTTTCTCTCTCCCCTTTCCTCTCTATATCTTATCTCTCTTTGTTGATATCATATCTTCTTTATCTACTCACTTATCCATGGACACCTAGATTGCTCCCATGTCTTGGCTATTGTAAATAATGCTGCAGTGATATATGGGTACATAAAGAGTGGGGCAAAGATAGATCTACAGTTGTTCATCTGGAAAATAATACAATAATTAATACATAAAATACTAGAATAAACTCTGTGATTTGAGTACTCACAACTGTAAACTTACTTTTGCCCCGCCCTGTATATCTTTTCAAATTAATGTTTTTGTTTTCTTCAGATAGATACCCAGATGTGGAATTTCTGGGTTGTATAGTAGTTGTATCTTTAATTTTTTGAGGGACCTCCATACTGTTTTCCATAGTGGCTGCACCAATTTGCAATCCCACCAATAATGCAAAAGGGCTCCCTTTTCTCTCCATCTTCTCCAAATACTATATGATTTCCCTTATGTGTCAAATCTAAAACACAAAACAAACAAACAAAGCAAAAAAGAAACAGACTCTTAGATACAGAGAACAAACTGATGGTTGCTAGAGGGGAGGAGAACGGGAGAATGGGTGAGAGGGAATAAGAGGTACAAAGCTCCAGTTTAAAGATAAAAGTCATGGAGATGGCATGTACAGCATCGGGAAAATAGTCAATATTACTATAATAAACTTTGCATGGTGACCGATGGCCACTAGTATTGTGATGATCAAATCATGAGAAATACAGTGTTGAGTCACTGTTGTACACCTGAAACTAATATATAATGTATGCCAACTATCATAAAAAACAAAGTATTCTGCCCTCATGAGAGAGAGGAAAACAGTAGAGCTGGGGTTTTACATGTGTTGGAGCCGAAACCTCAGGAAGGCTTGAGGGGGTCCCCATTGGTCTCCTGGCTGCAGGCTATGCCTCTTGTCCCAGTTATTTACCTCCTAAGATCAAGCTAGGGACCACAGATGGCAAGAGAGTGTCTGCAGCCTGTCCTCGCCACTGGGGGGAAATGTTGAGGGTCTTTCAGTGGCGTTTTTATTCCCAGGAAGAGCACACTCTGCATTTCCTGTGCGGATCTGGGCCAGACCTGGATGCTCCTTGTCCATATGTGTGCAGCAAAACACGGCCCGTAATGTTGCCAGTCTCCCATTTCACGTTGTTCTCCTCCGTCGCGAGCTCCACACCGAAAAACAACCACCACCAGTGCCACATGGTTTCAAAGATCAAAGGCCCCAGTTCTGAATATATTTCAAGCTGACTGTACTTCAAATGTTTTAAATATGTTCCTCCAGATGGGAAGCATGGGGCATTAACGAGGTAAACCACATGTGCGTGAGCCGGGATGTGGTCTGTGCAGGACAGTGAAAAGGGAACAGCGCTGATCCGTGTGTTTGCCTTCCCCTCAGGTCCGCATCTTCACGTACCTCATTGGACGGGAGGCGGCTTTTGCGGACAATCTCAAGTGGATGGCCTGTGCCAACAAAGGTAGGTCCCTCTGATGGGCCTGGCTCCCAATGCCTTCTCCTTGGATGCACAGAAATCAAGATAGTCATGAGGAAGTCGAGAATTCTAGGAGAAGGCTGTGAGTTCTAAGATAAGGTCTGGGTGTTTCTAAATGATTTTTTATAAACTTGTAACAGCTTCTCCCAAAATATGCTTATAAAGTTTGAGGACATAGTCAAGTGGAGTGGCTGAGCCTCTCCACTCTACTGCTCAGTAGCTGAGGGGCCTTGGGAGAGTTACTGTGGCAGAGCCGTTTACTGTGCACCAAATATCCACGTGCTTGCTCAGCATTCCTGGTCCCTTGAGCCCCAGTGGGGCCTCAACACTGGTTCTGGCCAATAGTCTTTAAGCAAAACCAAGCTGGTCATTTCTGGGATAATTCATTTAAGAGCTGGTGTGGTGTTGTCTACGCTCTGGCTCTTGTGCTCTCTGAAACTACATAATGGAATAGTCATGAAATGAACAACCTTCATCAGCCTGGGGCCCTGAGTCATCACATGGAGCGAATGCCTTTCCACTTCCCCTGTCCCCTGCCATAGGCCAGCCCACACTGCATACATAGTGTGTGTGATGAGCCTTAGTGTTAAGCCACTGGGGTTTCCGGTTTCCTATGTTCCCATAGCATGACTTAGCCTACACAACCAATTAAGTCTAGTTTGAGTTAAAACAAAGTTATTTTAGTTGCAAGCAACCAAAGTTGCTCCCTGAAATTAAAAAGAGGAGTGTTTTGGAGAGAGAGGGGAGTGACTCAGAATCTAGACAAGGGAGGGAAGCTTGTGTCCCAGGAGGACCAGGGAGCTGTGTTTTTGTTTTCTTTCCCTTCTTGGTTTCCTTCTACACTCCGTGCATTCTTCCCTCTGTAGGTAGACCTTCTCTGCTATGGCATGGGCATATTCAGAAATTCCCATCCTATGCCATGTACACCCCTCTATCCACACAGCAGGATATGATATTAGAAAGGAGTTTTTATCTTCTCCATTTGAGACTGATTGATCCACAACTTTAAATTCTGATTTTTAAGTCCCCTACCTTCCTCCCAAAAAGGATTATGACCCCAGCTTGGTCCAGGACCCCCCTGCTGATTTGGGTATGGGCAGAGATAATCCCACAGAGAAAAACATATGCACTCTGAGGGGCCCAGCACTGGGTGGGGGTGGGAAGTTCCCAGAGAATAGGGGCATGGCCCGGCAAATAAACCTCAGCCTGTCTTTCCCATTGCTTGGCATTGTCTTTAATTATCTGCTTCTATTTGCAACAATATTTTAAGCACGTCTCATTTTCCGCATTGAAAAAATGGAGACCTGCATGGAAGTCAACATTTCCTTGAAGCTATTAATAACACATTCTATGATTATTTTAGTTTATTGGCTGGCTCCCCTCACTATAGGTATCAGTAATATGATTATCTCAGAGCTAATGCATTTGGCTCCATTTCAGGAGACACATGGGAGGACCGTGGGCCCGAGGGGGTGGAAGCTGATGCATCCTCTGTTTCCTCTGAGGAAAGGGTCCATTCTTGAAACAATTTTTGGAACTTTGTTGACATTTGAAAATCTTGAGTGAGCTTCACTTTTCCTGTTTTTCTTTTCCCCTTTATTCTGCGGTCTTGGAAAGAAAAAAAAAAAAGAGTTCCTTTCCATTTTTTTTAAAAAAAATGTTGCTGTTATTCTTGCCACGTTGAATTGCAGTTCTCCCATCGGCTAGGATGCAGTTAGTCATGGGTTATTGTTTTTACCACTGTCTGTGTCCAGCTGATGAAAATTACTCAAATTGAAGTCTTGTCTTAATCAACTAATATTACACCATAATTTAGTTTTAGTCATTGTTTATAAGAATCTCTGAAGCATCCTTTTGAAGATAGTTTAGTCAACTTGGAGTATTTCAGGGCCTGGCTATAGCATACAGCCCTTTAGATGTAAAAGTTCTGAGTACAGCCACTTGGAAAATCCAAGGAGGTAATAGTAGCCGCTGAGCTGGCCGGGCCTGGGATTCCACAGTGATTCTCCTTCCCTTCCTGTCTAAATCCGGTCATTTCCTTCTCTGCCAGAGCCAGGCCCTCTCAGAAGTTTCACCTCCTTACTCCGCTTCTCTCCTGAAGGGCCTCGGGAATAAAATGTCATTGTTTACCACTCTTCAAAGTAGCAGCTGCCATCAAAACGTTAGGTTCCAGTCATCTGTGCCCATATAAACATTGGCTTCGCGTTGCGTCAGTTATGGGGTTTTAGACCACGTAACATCAGTGAGCAAGTATTCTTCTATGGTCATTAATTAAATCATTGTTTATAGTCTCAGATTGTTATAGTATGGAGGCAGCATAACATTTTTCATCTCAAGTGACATGAGGTCCAGAGGGGCCCCCCTTACATATTTTCATCCTGACTCAGACAAGTGCTTCAGTGAAATGAGTCATTAACATTCAGGGGCCAGAGCAGACTCGGGGAGAGCCCAGGGGAGCCCAGGGAGCTTGTCAGTGGCCGGGCTGGGCCTGGCCATGGTGGCCCTGGGGAGGAGCAGGAGCTGGGCCCACACACCTTCCCCAGTCAGGGGGCGAGGAGCCACTCTCCCTACAGAATTTCTTGCTTGCAAGTCTGGTAGCCATGGAGACTGTTCTCAGCCATTGGACCTCAGACATGTCCCCTGGAAATGGGTATCTGGGGACGTGTACACTGCTTGCAGGAGTTCTCTGCCTCCTCCGATCTACTAGCAAAGTCCAGAGAGGCCTGGAGCTCATTGGTTTGTTTCATTTTATGCATAACTAGGTCCTATCTTGAGGGAAACGGCCCTAATGAGGCAAAACAGCAAAGCATTTTAAATCCATTAAAGTGATCATTGCCACTGTACAGTGGCTGGTGGAATATACAGTTCCGAGTTCATACTATTGGGTAAATAAGCGAACTGGGAAAACGGCAGAGAGGGGCCGACACAACCCCAATATGCCATAAAGTCATGATGACCTTCTCTAATGTTCAGTGTGCCAGGATTTTAAACAAGCACCGCCAGCGTCTCCCTCGGAAATCAGTGAAGGGAGCGCTTTCCAGCTGTGCAAATAGAGGGGGCCTCCCTGTTTGGGCTCTCAACCCATCAGTCATTGTTAGGGCGAATGGAAAGGCCACAGGAGTCTCTCTTGGCTGTCTGCTCTGCTTGTCCCTTTCTGATAGGTTCATGGTCATTCTCTCCTTATTTCAAAGCGAGCTAGTGGCCTGAGCCCTCCTCAGAAGTTCAGACCCACAGCCCTTTTTCCATGAAAAAATTCTTACCCTCACCCTGCATTTGTTTCCAAGAGTCTTGGCCCCTAAAAGATAGCTTCACACTTACGAGGCCACAATGGTGGTAGGTGAGGGTAGGGGAAAGTGGCAATCCACATTTCACTATTTTGGAACAAGTGGAAGAAGACACAAATGGTGGTTATTCAGATAAGTGTGTATAATATTTTTGTACCCTTTGACCAATATCACCCCAATTCCCCTAACCCTCAGCCCCTGGTAACCACCATGTCACTCTCTATGTCTACAAGCTCAGCTATTTTAGGTTCCATATGGATTCCACATATAAGGGATATAATTTAGCATTAGTCTCTGTCTGCTTAACCTCACATAGCATAATCCCTGCAGCTCCATCCGTGTTGTCCCAAATGGCAAGTTTTCCTTCTTTCTCATAGCTGAATAATACGCCACTGTGTGTGTGTGTGTTTGAAGTTGTGTACATGCCATAAACATGAAGATGCCGCCCCTGTTATTTATAACAACTAAGGATGACCAACTAAGTGTCATCCTTAGTTGTTATTAGGTTGTACTATGCAGGTAGAGTGCAAAAGTACTTTTGTGACGTATCTCTTTTGACCCTCACTAAAGCTCTTTTAGGTGCTTGGGAAGAAAACTGAGACCTAGTTTTCTTTTCCTAAAAAATATATTTTTATTGATTTCAGAGAAGGGAAAGGGAGAGAGAGAGAGAGAGAGAGAGAGAGAGAGAGAGAGACATTAATGATGAGAGAGAATCA